AAGTTGTCAATTTTCTCAGTAAGAACTTCAAAAAGAAAAAAAGAAAGCCATCTATTTTTTTTTATTATCTTTTTATGAAAGAAGATATTTTAATACCAAAAAAGTTAAAAGGATATTTTCTTAGATTAAAGGATAGGACTTCAAAATAAATTAACTTGAAACACTCAAATTATTTTCCCCTATTTTACTTATTTCACAGAGAACCACTAAAGTGACAGCATAAATGGACTCATGTGGGAGCCAAAGGAATCAATGATTTTCAAGGCTACCTCCAACCTTGAGCACCTCAGGTTAATGGTGGCTCCCTGCACAGCTAGCGGGGAGGCAATGCAGGCAGATTTTGTGGTGCAGGAATTTAGACTTCCTCCAACTTGAATCATCACAGAAAGGACAGGTCATCTTGACCTAAATATTTTCAGTGTAAATCTTCTTCCTTAAAATGTTTACCTATTTAGGAAATAAGAGATAATGCATTTTCTGTTTATTCAGAGGTTCAATACAGCCTAAAGCTCTTTACAAAGTAATTTACAAACTATTTTTCTGTGGGCAGTTGCTCATGTGGATTTGAATAAATTGAGAAATTAGATTTGTTGCTTTTTCTGTTAAGTATAGAGTTAGAAATGACCACTTTGGATTTCTATTAACAGGAGTGTGTGTGTCTTTGTCACGAATAGTCAAGTATTGATCAATTTGTGGTCATATATTTGTCTTCCTAAGGTTAGAACTGAAGCAAAACTAGGCAATGTATAAGAATAAATACTATTTAAAATTCTATGAAAATATGGATTATGACTAGGAAAAAAATTTTATACAACACCAGCATTAGCATCCTTGAGGCCATTTCTATAGTATTTCAAGTACCTAATTATATCATTTGTCCCAGAATTTATCTCGCTGAGAGGTAGGGTCAGAAGTGTTGGGCCTCAAGCATCAATTGAAACTTCAGTTTTATATGTAAGTAAAAAATATCAATGATAGAATCCATTGGAGTGTCTGACACTTTTTTTTTTTTTTTTGGTCATCAATATAATCATCATTACCTTCACACTATTCCATCTCTGTCTTTCAGTCTCAATAGCATGAGCTAAAAGCAATTGATTTCACGAAGCAATTGAAGGGATGAAGAGAAAAACAAATTATGAAAAATGTGTACCAGACACAGATGAATGCATTCTACAATATCAATGAAGCCCTAAAATGCTTAGAATTAATTTGAACCCTTTTGTCTGATTCATGTTTCATATATACACATTTTTAATTTTCAAAAGAAATCAAAGATGGTAAAAGGAAAGGAGTACAGGAAAATATATAAGGAAGCTAAATCACCTGTAATCCCACTACCAAGATCAGTGCTATTAATGTTTCGATGAATTCCTTCCAATCTTTTAAAATGTGTGAGTGGGTATCTACTCATACAGATATGACATCATGTGTATATGATTTTCTACTCTTCCATCAAATAGTGTGAGTCATTTTCCATGACCCCAAATATGTTTCATACACATGCGTTTGTATGGCAGCCTAGAAATAGTAAATATTTTCTAATTAGTTGACCACTCTTGAGCATTAAATTTGTTTTCACTTCTTCCTTCTGAAGAAATAATGCTGTGATGAACCTGTGCTTGCAGTTTTTAAATATTTCCTTAGATAAGCATAGGTGGAATTCCTATGTTAAAGAATACGAATCCTGCTAAGAATCTTATCAGAAATGTAGAAATAATCCACTAGAGTAGTCTAATCATTACCCCCAAAGTATTGTCATTGAAAAAATAAGTTTTTTACTTGATAGATGCAAGTATCTAATTACTGTATTAATTTGGCTTTTTTTCTTGTTTTCCTTTCTGTGAGACTCTATCATGCATTCCTTCATGAAAATATGTCATGGGATGTTATCTTGGCAGTTCATGGATGTGTGATGTGTGCAGTTAACTGAGACTTCACACTCAGAAGAGACTTGTGCTTAGTTTAACGCTCTGCTGTTGTCATCTGGGAATTCTTTAAAATTTTGACACTGAACTTAAGTTTTGCAAATGAAGTTTGTGGTACAATGGATGTGCGTATGACCAGAGAAGAACCATGGAATATGCGTGTTTACTGTTCTTTGCCATTTTGTTTGCACAGAGTATTTTAGTGTGCCTTGTGGGCAGAGGGCTAGTAGGCCCACGAAGTTGGGAGTTCAGTGAGATGAAAGCAAATGCAGGGTGAGCATGCTACCTTCCTAGCTGAGTAAGTAGGGCTGCTGGCAGCCATAGGGTCATGCTGTCTGTTTGCATCGATGATTCTCTAAATGCAGAAAGAAGGCAGCAGTTTTATAAGAAACATAAATGACCCAGGAACACTATCATATCCTCTCTTATTCATGTTACTTTCTTGTATTAGTCAGCCATTTACACTAAAAACAAGGTCATAGAAAGCAAGAGAAAGATGAGGCAGCCCTAGTTTCTGTGCTCTGTAGTCCCTGCTTACTCGAAGAGAACCTTGAGACCAAAAGCAGAAGAGGCTTTTGTTTTTAATTGCATAGATACCTATATTTTCTTAATCTATTTTTCCCTTTATGAATATTTATTTTGGCTCACTTAGAAGGCTTTTGGCCTTGTATTTCATTTTGCCATATATTGTACTTACAACTTTTTAAAATTTTCTCTTTGCCTGGTATATCATTATATATTTCTTTTTTGTATGTCTTTTGTAGATATTCTGTTCCTAGTTCTTTTTAAAGATCAATGTCAGGAGAATTTCTCTGTCTTGATTGGAAAACTTAACCCGTTACACGTATAATTACTATTTTATTAAATTTATAAGATTAATTCATTTCTTGTGTGGGGAAAGCTAGCTTTTCCTTGCTGTGCAGTATTCTATCATATGACTATATCAAAATTTATTTACCTATTCATTTGTCTATATCTTTTTTACATGTGGTTAGATTCCAATTTTAAGTTAAATCTGTGAACATTTTTTAGTATATGTATATTTGGCGCACACATGTTTCTCTGGGGTACTTTATACTTATGAGAATATTTTCTAGGACATAGGAGAGAGGGAGATTTCTGGGTCATAGATTAGGGTGTCTGTGTTTTTTCTAGATTACGCCAAACTAGATTTCCAAAGCAATTGTTCCTATTTATATTTCTGACATCAGTCCTTGATGGTTTCCCTCTCCCCCACCCTCCCCAACACTTGGTGCTGTGATAAGACCACTGGTTCACTTTCTTGCTGTGCAGGAACAGGCCATGCTCTGAAATAGCAGGAGTTGCTGTAGACAAAGTTTCATCATCACTGGGTGGTCAAACCAGGAGATGGAAGAGCCCCTAGAACAGCAGTTCTCTTGTCATGACCCACAGGAACTGTGTTAAAGGGCCGCGGCATTAGGAAGGTTGAGAACCACTGCCCTAGAATGTGCTTCCCTGAAGAGTTCTTGGCTGGAGTTTTTAAGGGGATTTTAGTGGGCAGGAAGCTAGGGAGTAACTGATTAGTTAGGTTGGGGGGAAGAAATTATTAGGGATATAGAAATTGCATTCTTGTTTTGAGTCAGTTCCTTGGCAGGGGTCACAGGACCAACCGGTGTCTGCACACCCATTGGAATGCACAGCATGGAAAGTATCTCAGAAAATACTCTTAAGTTTCACACTGAAGATTTTATCTATAGGACTGACTAAGGGAAGTTATAGGACTTTGTGACCAAAGGCTACCTGACTCTTAAGCAGGAAACAGTTTTAAGGGCATGGGCTATGGTGAAAGAGCTGATTAATACCTAATTCTGCCTTTTCATGACTTATGCCCTTATTAAAATTCCAGCAACTTGGTTTTAATTAAATTTATAAGGACGGTGTCAGTAATGTTAGAATTTTTAATCTTTTCTACTTTGGGTGCCAAATGAAATCTAATTCTTACAGTTTATTGATAATTGATATAAAATATAGTTATCAGCCACTTAGATTTCTTCTTTTCATGGCGAATTTTCTCAGATCATTTGCCTGAATTTATCATTTATTAGCTGAACCACCTTAAGCCATATCTTAATTTTCTCATCTTTAGATTGGGCTTAATGAAATCTCATGTATGACATCCTAGCACAGTGGTGTCAACTTGGCATTGCTGGTTCTGGCCATGGCCAGGACCTACCTTTACCTGAATCACCTTTCCTGTGTGGTTCTGAGTTATTGTGAGTCAAAAGAGGAACTCACGTGAGAACAAGCAGATGGGAATGAAGCAGAGCCACCTGAGAAGGGTCAGGGAGGCAAACACAGCGATGGGCCAACACAGACGTGTTGGTGGGTCTCAGGATGTCGTCACTCCTTTCCTGCTTTGTGTCCAGCTCCTTCTCCTGGTGCTGCTGCTGCTGATCAACAGTGGCCCTAAGCCTCCCAACCCACACGGGTTCCAGGGCCCCAGAACTGATAATTTCCAGAGGAAGGCAGAGTAGAAGTTTCCTAGAAGGTGGGGACTCCATAGAATCTGCAGGTTGTGCATTTCCCTCACGTTTCTCCTGTCCATTACAGCTAGCACTCCATAGTTAATGACTTTTTTTTTTTTTGCAGTTTTTGGCTAGGGCCGGGTTTGAACCCGCCACCTCTGGTATATGGGGCTGGTGAGCCACAGGTGCCGCCCCTGTTAGTGACTTTTTAAAATCCTCTTATTTTCCCTTTCTAGACTTGAATTTGCCCAGCTCCTATCATGTTTGCATAAACTTCAATTTATCCCTTATTTCTGTAATATTTGTAGTAGATCTGAAGTCCTGATTTAACTGACTGATACAACAGTTTTGATGGTGAAATAAAATAAACATGCAAAGATCCTTTAAAAGCTCAAAATTTGTATTGAAATGTCATTACTGGTCTTAGGTAAGTAGTATATTGCTTTGCCTCTTACATAGAGAAACAGATTAGTTGACCTTTAAAATGGTAAGGAAAGCAAGCAAACACAGGCTGTTATTGGCAGCATGTTTTGTGAAAATATTTCATTCTTTTGTTTGTCTGACAAGCATACTTTTTTTTAATTTTAAAAATATGGAACGCTTCACGAATTTGCATGTCATCCTTGTGCAGGGGCCATGCTAGTCTCTGTATTGTTCCAATTTTAGTAGATGTGCTGCCGAAGCGAGCCCTAGCATACTTGTTTTTTATCAAATTGATGCCCATGTACTCCATTTAGCCCTCTTTTTTAACTAGATTGCTTGGTAAGAAAGAGATTAGAGAATAGACCAGAGACATGGCATCTCGGACATACTTGTCAGAAATGCTCAATATTTATAGTGTAGAATATACTCAGATATCCAGAGACACATCAAGAGCAACTGAAAAGATATAGGTACAAGGTAAAGATACGGGACAATTCTACCCAAATTGTCATTTCTGGCTGCCTCTGTGCTGCTTTAAGGTTGAGCCTGGTAATGGATCCTTTTCAAAGTCTGTCAAAGACTCAGACATTGCTGATCTAATGTGTGACAGTTTTCTCAAGGCCATTGAACTAACTTATAGCTTTATAAAGATAATATTGTTCTGGTTAATAGAGCAATAATTGGTCAGCCAAATAGTGGATTTCAGCAGCTGCTTTCATTACTTAATGGCAGAAGAGCAGTGACAGGACTGTTCAACCGTTCACGATCTCTCGACAGACACTTCTTCAGTGATGGTTGGGGAAGCATAGGAAGGCTTTGTGAGCAGAATTATTATATTTAAAGGATGGTTGGGGTGGTAGTATAGAGGGGAGGGTGCTAAGGAGCACAATATCACTCTTATAAACTGGACTTTGGTATTAAAATGATAACTTATAGTATCTAAAGCTGTTTTATTTCCCTCATGATGTACTTCTCAGTTAATAATCTACGTGCAAGAATCTGATCTATGTCCCATAGATAATTCCAGTGATAATTTCCATTACCAAAAAGCTTATGGTAGTGGAGTAGGACAAATATCTATATAATCACAATAACCTATTGAAGGAGGCACAGGCCATAATAAAGCAGATGAACAAAAGGGGAAAAAAAAGACTTAGTGATAGACTGACATGTTTTAGAGACTAATGTAATGTATTCTTTTCTTCTAGATTGAGGTATAATTGACAAATAAAAATTGTTCCAGAGGAGCCAGAAAATATATACACATTTTAAGAAAGGAAAAAAAAAACCTATTAAATTTGTAACACTCAAGACTTCTGAGTGTTACAGAAAGACTTCTGTAATAACAAGAGGTGCGGAATGTGACTTGTATCTATCTTTTGTTATTGGTATATATTGAGTATTAAAATTTTAATGCAAATTTTTTCCTTTCTTAAGATATGTATACATATTTTAGCACCCTCTGTATATTCAAGGTATACAACATGGTTTTATATATGTATACATGTGTAATGATTACTTCTATCAAATTAATTAACATCTATCACCATCCATAGTTTCTAATTTGTGTGACTGTGAAGGAAGCGGGTACTATACTGGAGGTTAATGGAATGTTGAGGACCAAGGAGTCCAAAATGACTTTATACTTTCTGGTTTGCTTTGTTTAGAAGAAAATGATTGTCACCAGTGGAATTCTATCACCTGGGAAAAGAGAAATGAGATTAAAGTACAGATAGCAAGTCTGACTTAGGGCATGCTAGGATATCAACTAAATTTCCTCAAGGAGCAGTTTTGGAACATCCAGTTGGTTATAAAGGTATGTGCCAAAATTTAGGAGAAAGGCCAAAGTAAAGGATGTAGATTTGGTAGTGACCTAGATGATACATTTTTATATAGACTATGTATCATTAGCACCAGGTTTAGGATTAGTAGAAAATATCTTAGGATAGATCAGATAATTTTTAATGGAAGTAAATATATGGGTATGTTTTTTTTATCTTGTACTTTAGTAATTTGATAACCCCTTTGCTTTGGAGAACCAAAAAAGAGTGCATTCTTATGGGTGGTCAGAAGATTCATAAACTGAAGAAAATTTAAGGAGTTGGCAACTAATGACCACTGATTCTGATGATTAGAAAACATTGCCAATACAAAGTGGGAAAATTAAATAAAAAGTAGAAAGCAATGAAATAAGGATGACAAAAGAAGCACTTCAGAGACTCGACCCAAATGTGTGGGCTTAGAAAGCATCACTGCAGGTAGCATGTCAGTATTAAGAATTATTTTCAGAAGTGGCCTAAGTCAAGTTTCCATTCTGCACCCATTTCTGCACCCCTGTGCTATGGGTTGAGTTGTCTTCACCCACAGAATAAATCGAAGCCCTAAGCAGCTGTGAATGTGACCTTATTTAGAAGTGAGTCTTTGCAGATGAAAGCAAGTTAAACCCAATATGACTGGTATCTCTGTAGGAATGGGAAAGTGCTGTGAAGACCCAGCCCTACAGGGACAGCACCCCAGAAGGGCAGAGGAAAGGACTGGAGAGAGACAGCAGCAGGTCAGGGTAGAAAGATGCAGCAGTTACCAGGGGAAGCTAGGGAGCAGCAAGCCGAGGTTCTACCCAATCTCAGAGCAAGCCTGGCCCTGCTGACATCTTGATTTTGGATTTCTGGCCTCTGGAACTCTGAAAGAATAAATTTCTGACGTCTTAAGCGATCTAATTGTGGTACTTAGTTACAGTAACCTAGGAAACTAATGCACCTTATTTCTCTCTGACTTATTATCATCTCTTCATTTAATCAGGTAAGATTTATTAAATGTCCACTCTACATGGGTCACTCTGCTCCTTCATATCCTAGCTTTCAGAATTGCCCTCTTAAGGCAACATTTGGCATTTGGAAGATTAATAAGGAAGAAGAGACAGCACAGCACTGGCTACTTTGCTTGATTCTTTTTCCCTCTGTTGTATTGAAGACGTTCCCAGTAGTGTCATCTCTGAGAAAGAATGATACATATAGATGACTGTTTTCCAGCATTTATGAGTTCTTGGCTCAAAGGCGTGCTAAAAGTGTCAAGTTGCTACAGAATCTTTAGATAAATGGCAAGCACGATGCTAGGCTTGGAAGGCTTGTTCATGCTCAAAGTGATAAGCCTAACACTGCAAGTTATCACTAACTTGAGACTGGAGTCAGAAGGTCTAAAAGGGTCTCAGGGGAATGATGCAATCTGAGAAGACCTCAGATTCTTTTTTTTAAAAAAATTCTTATAGGTGAATTGTACCTGTACTAGAAAGAGTAATGTGTAAAGACAAGAAGATGAGTATGCTGGCTGGCTGAATAACGATGACTATTCAAAAAGCTGTTGCAGCTGGTGGTCAGGCAGCGAAAATATGCATTGTATATGGTTTGCTTACTTATAGTGTTCGTTGTATTAAAAGTGGTAGCCACAGTCTCCTCCAGTAACTCAATTTGTTGGATGTGGGATGTGCCTTGTGATAGGGCTGACAAAATGATTAGAACATGGAAAATGCTAATGTTGAAACATTTCCCCTAAGTTCCCAAAGTAACAGGAATCTGTCTCTATTAGTAACTTTATAAGGAATCAATCAGATCATTTTGAAATGGAGTCTCATGCTTTTTTGGGTTAGGGCTTTCTGTGAATGCCTCTTACGTTTTTATTGATGAAAAAATGGTCGATTATTACGGCTTATTAGAAGGATTGAGAATCAAGGGTATATAAATAATATTCCCTAGACATCAGCAATTCAAATGATGTAAGACTTGTCTTTGCAAATCATTTTGCTGAAAGCCTCTTTGATATCTACTGAACTCCATATAGTTGGACAATTCAATGATATACTAAACCTATTCCTTCCTAATAGCATTTTGATGAGTCAAATCTACCTTGCACAATTAATTAGACATACATGAATTCTTAGACTTAAAATTAAAAAGATATGCACCAGAATTTCATTACAGTGACAGAAGCAGAGACTATACATATAAAAGCATTTTTTCACATGTCTGTTTTCTGAGTCTATTATATTTCTTTGGAGTTGAATACTGCAGCAACAATTTGATATAACAAACCAGATGGTATTAAATCTGTTTTTTTTTTTTTAAGAGAAGGTAGAAGATGTCATTCTTGAATGTGGATGAAAAAAGTTCTGAGTTCTTTACCAAAAAATATCAAGTGGTGGTCAATTTAGTCTACTTAAATCACAAAGTAATTTTACTTCTGAAGACAGAAACCTTTCAAAATAGTTCTAGTTAGGACCTAGAAAAAGTTAAAGTCTAGAAATGATACATTATGAATCACAAGAAACAAGTCAGGGCTATCCTGCATCAGATTCCTGTAGGTAAATGCCTTTGAAAGATTTGGCTGGACTATATTCCAAGTAGGGGACCCTACATTGGTCCAGATGATGCAGCACAAGCAATATGGACATATGGGCATTGAACAGCGACACAAAGATGGGGCAAGTTATATAAAATGTATAGGAAAGTAAAGTAGTGAAGTCAGTTTTTTTCCCCACATAGATGGAATAATGTTAAATTATTAAATAGACACATGCAGGAAACTTTAGGATTGGTTAAGCGCAGGTTGACTACTCAAGCAATTTTCCCTCTGGTGTATCCAGACTCTGTTATTTACCGTGGCCCAAGATGGGAGCTTTTGCTCTAAGTGATAAAGGCAGGAAAGTCCTAATGAGGAAGGAGGCTGGAGAAAATATTGGGCTTGGGTAGCAGGTGTCAGTCAAGGCTAGGGGCCAGGAAATACTCCTCAGATAAGTCTCTAGGATCTTCCAGGCAATCCTAAAGTGCTGGTTAATTCACTGATCTTCAGGAGCTAAGGATCATGCAGAGGTCATTAATATGGCTGGATCTTTTTTTTTTAAAATTGTTTTTATTAAATCATAACTTTGTACATTGATGCATTTACGGGGTTCAGGGTACTGCTTCAATATACAACGTGAAGTGTTTACACTGGATAGCTGGATCATAAATCTAGCATTTCTAATCTTCTCACTAGAGTTTTGACTAAAGAGAACACACACCTAAAAGACATTTGGCAGTATGAGGTAACAGAGATAGGCAAAAAATAAAAAAATTAAGGAAGAGGCACTGTACCCAGGGCAGACATTATTCATCAATAATACAAATTTTTCCTGATTAGAATGAACCTATTTTCCATCCTAAGATGTTTACCAGCTACATGTGTATGGGGGAAGTGGTGGAGAATTTCAAAAAGGCATGAATTCTTCAGTGCAG